ATGTTGGTCTAAACTTGGTCCCTGCCACCACCAGAGGAGAACAAAGGCAGCCTCTTTCTGCTTTGTTCAGTAAACTATCATTTTCCTATTACGGAGGTCCTCAGAGTGTGGTCCTAGGTGAAGGAGCTTCAGCATTGCTAGAGGATTTGTAAAAATGCAGGTTCTCATCTCGCTGCAGAGCTGGATTGGAATCTCTGAAAGTGCATGGATCTCCTCCCTACTCTGCAGTCTGTGGTTAAATAAGCTTTGCAGATGATTATAATGCACACTAAAGTTTGAAAACCACTGTCCCAATGACTGGGTTCCCAAACCTGTAAGTAGAATTACTGGGTGCACGTTCTACCTTCTTAAGCCAAGGTACATTTTACCAGATTAACTCCCACAAAATCATGCTAACTTAAAATCCATTGACAGGATATGATTGTGTCAGTTTCCTATATGCCGACCAGCACTAGAACCTATGTTTTTTAATATTAGACTGAATTTTTTGTTTTTACGTTTGGTACATTTTTCTGATGGCATAATCTTCTTTTCCTCCCAGTTATTTGTAATGTATAAATTAAGTATTACAAAAGGACTTCAAACAGTAAATGAGGGGAGGAGGAGCGTTTGGCACAGCCATTGTTTAGGACGTCTGCATCCCAGATGTGGTGCTTGGGTTTGAGTCCCAGCTCTACTCTGTTTCAGCTTCCTGCCATGCACACCCTGAGAGGCACCAGGAGATGAGTCCCTGCCACATCCATGGAAGAGACCCATAGAGAATTCTGGGCTTCTGGCTTTAGTCTGGCCCAGGCTTCGCTGTTGTAGGCATTAAGCTTATTTCCCCACAAATTTTTTCAAGCTCTTCATGTTATATGTATTATACACACATGTGAATAAAATATGTAAAATATAAAACATGTTTTTGTCTAATGTGCTTTTCACCCAAGTGTGTACAGAATTCACCCTCTTTTTAAATACATAGTTTTTGTTCTTGTGTTTATCTTGAAGTAGAGATCAGATATTTTTCCAAATAGTTGACATATTCCAAAGCCATTTATTAATTTCACTCTTTCACCAAGGAATTCAGATACTATATTTCCTAATAAATTCTTGGGTATAAATGAGTTTATTTGTTCCTGAACCTTTTCTTCTATTTCCTTATCTGTAAACTCCTGGAAAATAAGATCTATCTGGTTCATCAGCCCCAGGAACTGATTCACTCCCTCCTGCGTATTGGAAACTGCATGTGTTTGTTAACAGATCATCTATTTCTTCGTGGACTGTTTCTGTATTTTTAAGTGACTGGAGCTTCACAATAAGTCTGTTATTTTTATTTTAGTTTTATGCATTTTTGCTGTTTCTAAGTTTGATTTGGCCAATGTAGAAAGTCTTCAAGATGAACATCAAACATTTTTCTGGGGAAAAATTAGATTCTGATTAAAATATCATTAAATACATGACTTACAAGAATTGTTGTCTTTACAACATTGTCTTATTAACTAGAAGCATGTTACTTCTCTATTTACTTACTTGTTTTTTTTATTTTACTCTTGCTTTCTTCCTTAATAGATATAGTCATTTTCCAAGTAATTCTTTTGGGGTTTCTAGGTTTTAAATAACATTAATCATGAACAATAGTGTTGTCTTCTTTCCACTGTTTTTTCCATCGGCCCGAGTTGCTACAGTTAAGTAACAGTGAAAAGAATAAATGTGACTTTTTTTATTTTAACAATTTAAAGTAGGGCCTTTAAATTAGAAGACCCGGTGACAAGGTTCTGTGCTTAGAGCTAGCAAGTCAGTGATTCAGGGTAAAAAAGAGGTGGAATAAAGGGAGTGGCCTTGAGGATTTGTTTTAACACCTTGAATGGCACCTATTTTCTATGGTTTAAGAGACTTGCTTTCAAGTTAGATCTGTACACAGGTTATTACAAGGCCTGAAACAAATTTGCGCTTAGTGGTGGACATTACCTTTTTCAAGCATCAAACCACAAGCAGTTCTCTGCATCAGCAAGTTGCATGGTTGCAGAGAATTATTTTGGTTTGGATTTATACCTTAAGAAATTAGTGCCTTCTTGAATACATTATCTTTGAATTTAGATGTGTAGTGCCGCTGGATTTCAGAATCATTGATCCTTTAGTGAAGAGGAAGAAGAAACAGTGGCACATGGATTCAGACTAAAGAGAGGACACGGCAACACAGAGCTGTTTCACTACTAAAAGATTTCAATGTTTGACATTAGTGGAATTTATTTTACTATCTCAGCTTGATTGTAACTCAAGTGTTGTACAAAGATTTTTATATAACCTGGTAAATTGTGTTTTATACAGAATTTTGAATAATAAAGTCACTAATCACCAAAAAGTGTGTCAGTAAATATTTCTATTCTTGATTGCTGTGTGAATTTGCCCTATTTTTTATATGTCATCTTTATATTCAGTGGCACGGCTCATTTGGTTGATTGAGATTTGAATAGTAATTATTTGGGAAAAAAATTGCAAGCAGCCCTCTCAAAGTAGGAAAGAATATAGTGATTTTATTTGTCTTGCAATTTTATTTTCAATATGATTGTTCTACCTTGTATATTCTGTGAATATTTCATAGATCTGTTACTTTACACAAATATTTATCAGTCCTGTATATTAAGTTTCCTGGCACAGTTCATCTTTTTTTTCATAGTTGTACCGTTTTGATTTCTTGCCTTGCCTGCCGGCAGTTTTGGCATTACTTGTTTTAAAACTGATCTATAAATGTGAAAAGTGGTAGATAGTTTTGCCTGTGACTCCTGAGGGAAAGGTACATTGAGCACAAAATTTTGACCAGTTATGTATCATCGAGATGAAATACCTTGAGAAATATGACTCTTAACAAGATAAATTGATACAAATGGATGTGTTATTTGCTGGATTATTTAATATCTGGTACAATACCTTGGGTTTCTCTTTGGTTATACATCTTCTGTGTTTATTTTTGTGTTTTTGTTTTTGTTTTTTTTAAGTTTCTAGGGGCTGGTGTTGGCATAACAGGTAAAACTGCCCCCTTTAGTGCCGGCATCCCATTTGGGTGCCAGTTCAAGACCTGGCTGCTCCACTTCTGATCCAGCTCTCTATGGCCTAGGAAAGCATTAGAAAATGGCCCAAGTTCTTAGGCCCCTGCACCTGTGTGGCAGACCCGGAAGAAGCTCCTGACTCCAGATCAGCCTAGCTCCAGCCATTGGGGCCATTTGGGGTGTGGACCAGCAGATGGAAAATTCTGTATCTCTGCCTCTGCCTCTCTGTAACTCTGCCCTTCAAATCTTTAAAAAAAAAAAAAAAAAAATTAGTTTCTAGACCTTTCAGATCCAGTGTAAAGATGTGAAGAGCATGACTTTGAGGGAAGAATTGTTTCTATGTAACAAGATCTTCAACACTGCTGGCAACCAAAGAATGGGAAAGGGGAAATTAAAGTTGAGAGAAGTCAGTGGACCAACTCCTTGACCCCTGACATCCTGCAAGTTACCAGTTGATTAGTGTTCATGCCTCCATGGTTTTGCTTAAGCTAGTTTTTTCTCCCTCTCCTGGGTTCAAGTTCTGTAAGATCCAATCAGAATATACCTTTGTTTTGTTTTCCAAAAATTTCCTTGCTCTGTTCCTCTTAACTCCCTGCAGAATAAGTGTGTCCCTTCTCTGTGCTTCTGTGTACCTCCTGCTAAATCCCTTTATACCTTATATTATAGATTGACTTTGAAAATTGGCTCCCTGTGTATGCTAGTTTATAGTAGAGTAATTGGCACAAAAAGTGGTACTCCCATCATCTCATTTAATGTTTATAACAGCTAAGAGAGCTGATGTTATAAATCATCCCCATTTATAAATCATCTCCATTTTATAAATAAGTAAACTGAGCTAAAAAGGCCTCAAAGTTGGCTCAAGGTAAAACTTGAATCCCAGCCTAGATTCAGCTAACTCCTGAAGTCCATACGCTTTAAGTTTTCAAAATTTAAAGGGGCCGGAAGTAAGTTCTTATCCACTGGGTCACTCTCCCAAATGTCTGTAACAGCCAGGCAGAAGCCAGGAGCCAAGAACTCAACCGAAGTGTCCACATGGTTGGCAGGAACAGTCACTCAGCCATCACTACCGTCTCCCCAGGGGCCACATTAGCAAGTAGCTGGAATCGGGAGCCAGAGCCAGGAATCAAACTATGCGCTTCCACGCAGGATACAATCATGTTAACTGCTAGGCTGAACACCTGACCTGTCATTCATCTTAGCCAGTTTGCTGCATTTCTGTCACACCTGTGTGTCCTCTGTCTGCTCTCCAGTAGATATTTTCTAAGTGCGTGCTGACTGAAGGATGAGAACACCAGTTCACATAGTAGTTCAGAGCAGACTGGTAGGCTCTCTATTCAGAGAGGATGCAGTATTTGTACAAGTAAAATTTTTTTTGCAACCTTCACAACACAAATCATTCAATATGTTGATTGTGTCTCAGAAATGTTCAACTTGAGAAAGTTTGATTTCTAAATATGGCTAGCTTTTATAACACAACAGAGCATCATACTGCACTATAACATTATGAATGGATTTTTAGGGATGTGCTGCCCCCTTACTTCCATCTTTATTGTGAATATTCTCACCAGTAAGATAATCTAATTGAACTTAACACTGGCATAACACATTGCAGTGAGCCATAACACATATAAACTCTGAGATGGAATGCGGTAAATTGAGGAATAATTAAGGTTAGCAAAGTCTGTTGCAGGAAACAAAAGTGATCTTGAGAATCTTAAGTTAAAAAATGCTTTAAATGCTGTGGATCGTGAGTACTTCTATAAATGAATACAAAATCCATTGTTTCTTAGGTTGCTTTAAGGGTCAAAGAGTCAATGAGAACAGAACATTTAAAAACACCTAAAAATATTGAGAGTGAATTTAAGAAAGCAATTAATATTCTTTTTCAGTCACTGATTTTCCTTTGTAGACTTAGTAAAATGAATACAGATTGAATTTTGTAACTTTTTTTCTTTTCTGTTATTTCCCTAGTGTTCTTAATAACAATACTTGTAGTGGAAGGGATTGCTGTGGCCCAAAAGACCCCAGGTAAAGTATTTACAGTGATAAGATTGCATGTTCAGGGCAGTGGGATGGCTTATTTGAAAAAACTGAAACTTTTTGAGTATTATTTCCATAATCCCTCTTGGTATCCCAGTGACCTAAGGCTTTTTATCAAACCATCAACCTCAATTCAACTGGATTCAGCTGCAGTTAACTGGAGTAATTTGTCAACATAAAGTCCTGTCCTGATAAATTTTAAAAATTGGCATCACTAGTAGATCTAGCACACTGGATTATTAAATGAGATTCACATTTTAACACTAAGCAAAAATCCCTTTTCCAGTGTGAATGAAATATTTCCATCAATATTTTACTCAAAGCCCTTTGATCCTGTTCTGATTGTCCTGATTCATGAAAGCTTACATAGTATGATCTTATTTATTTGAAAGATAAAGCTTCCCTCCACTCCCCCAAATGCTCACAAAGGCCAGGGCTGGGCCAGATTGAAGCCAAGAACCATGAACTCAATCTGGGTCTCCCGTGTGGGTGTCAGGGACCCAAGAACGTGAGCCATCATTTCCTGCCTCCTAGGGTGTATATCAGCAGGAAGCTGAAATCGGAAGTGGAGCCTGGACTCAAAGCCAGACGCTGTGATATGGGATGCAGGTATCCTAGGTTGGCATCTTAATTGCTGCACTAAATGCCCACCCCAGATAGTGTGATTGAGCCAGATTTTCATGTCAGAGCTTAATACATTTCATGTATAACCTCATTTATTATTTATTTGATCAAGTCATATATAAACAATATAAGAATCCAAGTGTACTAAAAGTTTAATTAGGAAAACTTAGTCTTCTACCCTATCCCATGTCCTGATCCATGGACGTAATTATTTTAGCTGATTCTTTTTAACCTTCTTATTTTGAACATTCTCCACTGCTGTTTGTTTCTGTTATAGACATTAAATACTGATTTCTCATCATGGAAGATGTGAATTTAGCTGTTTCACATACCTTCATTCCACCCCACCCCCCGTCCATACTTCCAGTTAGATCAGTATTCAGGATTACATTATAATGTGAACTTTGTCTCTAAGAAATTTTTGTTTTAGTTCTTCTTTAAATTTTACAGTTTCCTCCATTTTCTCTGTTCCATCTTAGGAATCTCTGTTGTTTTGGTTATAGCTCTTTTTTTTTTTTTTTCTTTTCTATTGTCCATCTCTCTTTTGGGTTCATATTCTGAGAGACTGCTTCAGCTTTCTCTTCTAAGGTAGAAATTTGGAAGCTTTTTGGCTGAACAGTCTGCCTCACTGTGCAACTCTGCTGTTGTAGAAAGTAGCCACGGACAACACACAAAGTGATGGGCCTGGATATATTCCGTAAAATTTATTTACAGCCACAGGCAGAAGGTGAAATTGGCTCATGGCCATAGTTTGCATATTGTTGCTCTCAATTTTCTACTACTTCATTTCTTCTACTTTTGGAAGCTTTCTTTTTTTAAGGTTTATGTTATTTCATTTAAAAGGCAAAGCTAGAGAGAGAAAGGGAGGGAAACCGTGACACTGAGCTTCCGTCACTGGTTCACTCCTCCAGATAGCTGCAGTAGCCATGTCTGGACCAAGCTGAAGCCAGGAGCTTCCTGGTCTCCCACATGTTTGGCGGGGGCCTAAGAAGTTGGGCCATTTTCTGCTGCCTTCATAGGCATCTCAGTAGGAAGCTGGATCAGAAGCAGAGCCACTTAAACTCAAACCAGCACTCGAATGTGGGATGCTCGATGCTCTACACCACAGTGCTGGCCCCTCTTTTGTTTACAGCTTGTGTTTTGTTTTTACAATATCCTTGGTTTTCATTTCTGTCTCTGAGAAGATTAAGTGTTTTGCTTTTTAAACTTTTTAAAATAGTTTCCTCAAACTTGCTTTGCTTTTTTTTCCCCACCCTGTTTGTTTTGCTTTGTTTTTCATGTTAGAAATTCTTCAAATGTCCCTGTAATGCCTGCTCATATTTTGAGAGGGGCACTAAAGAGATGATCGCTGCCCATCTGCTAGTGTAGACAGATTGTTTATTTACCATGGCCTTCAATTTTTCTAGTAACCTGATGGTGAAGAACCCCTGAGTCGCATCATTGAGTCCCTCGTAGGACTGATCAGATTCTGTAGAGAAGAATCTTTCCTTTTCCCACTTACAGGTTTCATATCTGCAAAAAGGCCTTCAGCGGGACTTCCGGGTGAAGAGTCTGGGAGTGTCATACAATCTGTTAACAATCATGAATTTCCCTGTTTTCAAGTTTATATTTTCACCCTTAGCTGTGCCTGGTGTCCTCAAGTTCAATAACATTATTTTGCCTTCTTCAGAAAGGAATATTCTCCAGTTTTCTAAATGGTGATTGATCAGCAGCTGCCTAGATTAATGGAAGGGTATTGGAAATAGGACTGATTCTAAATAGACTTATAAGCAGCCTCAGGTTTTAAAAAGGCACTCCTCACCCCACTTCCTAGTGCTGCCAGTTATTACTCTTTTCTCTACCTCTTTGTACTTTGAGGTTTATACCATTAAAAATCTTTGTTACACTTGAATTGAAATTTGAGGAAGGAGCAGAGCTAAGTGCATGTGTTCAGTCTGTAATTCTTTTTTTTTTTTTAACTTTTATTTAATGAATATAAATTTCCAAAGTACGATTTATGGATTACAATGGCTTCCCCCACATACCGTCCCTCCCACCCACTCCCCTCCCCTTTCCCACTCCCTCTCCCCTTCCATTCACATCAAGATTCATTTTCGATTATCTTAATATACAGAAGATCAGCTTAGTATACATTAAGTAAGGATTTTCAGTCTGTAATTCTTAACTAAAATCCCTGTGTAATATTTGAATCTTACTTGACTTTGGTTTCAAGGTATAAGAACGCCATGTCAGAAATCAACTCCAGAGTCCCTTTTATTTTGAATATTACTTACGCTAATTTACCAGATGCTCACATGTAGTTTTGCCTTTGTAGAATGTAAGCCTTTTATTTTCCTGCTCTAACACAACACATGTATCCTCTAGCAAACTTTTCCAGCAAGCACAACGTACAGCCTTACCCTTCCACTTCTGTACTCAAATTCGCTGTGCTAAAATTTGGCAGTTCTTAAGGAATTATATATATGTAATATAGAGTGAGGACCTATTTGAAAGTTGGGGAAAGATCACCGGCGCCGCGGCTCACTAGGCTAATCTTCCACCTTGCAGTGCCGGCACACCGGGTTCTAGTCCCGGTCGGGGCACCGGATTCTGACCCGGTTGCCTCTCTTCCAGGCCAGCTCTCTGCTGTGGCCCGGGAGTGCAGTGGAGGATGGCCCAGGTCCTTGGGCCTTGCACCCCATGGGAGACCAGGAGAAGTACCTGGCTCCTGCCATCGGATCAGCGCGGTGCACCAGCCGCAGCGCGCTGGCTGCGCCGGCCATTGGAGGGTGAACCAATGGCAAAGGAAGACCTTTCTCTCTGTCTCTCTCTCTCACTGTCCACTCTGCCTGTCAAAAAATTAAAAAATAATAAAAAAAAGTTGGAAAGAGAAAAACGCTATTCTATTTTACTGTAATTAATGTTTTAAATGCTGTTTTTCTTCCTGAGATGGACAAAATATTGGAATCAAGCATGTTCCTGCAACCCAGTGTGGCATTTGGGTTCGAACCAGCAATGGAGGTCATTTTGCTTCACCAAATTATCCTGATTCATACCCACCAAACAAGGAGTGTATCTACATTTTGGAAGGTATTTCACCAGTTTCTACCTTTTATTGGGTGAATTTTTACTTTGAACCAAACTGAACAAAATTAAAAATGCAGCATATTTTGATTTAAACTCTTAAAATTATAAACATATTTCTGGATAGTGAATACATTAACAAAATAATAGTTATGAGAATTTTAAATCTTCTTAAATATAATTCAACTAAGAACATCAGTGTGCATGCATGTGTATGTGTTTATATATACATATAAAAGAAACTTCCCTGATAAGAAACTTACACTTAACCAGCATCCCTTATGCAAATTTTTATCTACATTAGTTAGTTCCTTTCATTTTTTTTCCTTCCTGTGTATCATGGTACATATCTCATGAAATAAGCATTAGCCTCTAAACTCATTAATTTTAATTGAGTATGCTTAGCTAATTTAATAAATAGTATATGCCAAAGGAGAAAAGTATTATAGTTCTACAAATTAGCATTAGTATTGTCCAGTGTAAGATTATGACTTACATATAACAATTCTCATTATGAGCCCTAGTAACACAGAGACTGTTTTGCTTTCCTCATTTGTGTCAGTACATTTATATTCTTTCTTATTTGTGTTCCCCTGACTTTCTTATTTTCTAGCTGCTCCACGTCAAAGAATAGAATTAACCTTTGATGAACGTTATTATATAGAGCCATCATTTGAGTGTCGATTTGATCACTTGGAAATTCGAGATGGGCCGTTTGGTTTCTCTCCTCTTATAGATCGTTACTGTGGCATGAAAAGCCCTCCATTAATTAGATCAACAGGGAGATTCATGTGGATTAAGTTTAGTTCTGATGAAGAACTTGAAGGACTTGGATTTCGAGCGAAATACTCATTTATTCCAGGTAAATACTAAGTTGTATTTTTAATGATTTTAGGTTTCTCACTCTGATTTCGGAATCCTAAGGTTAGAAAAGAGAAATTTTGGTCTTACAGTCTCAATGTGCTGGTAGCCAGAAGTCCTAAGTTTAGCAGGAACTTAATCCCCTTAGGAACTTTCAAGGAAAATCTATTGTCTCTTCTTGTTTCTATGGCTGCCCAGGATTTCTGAGTTTGTGGTCACGTCACTACAATCTCTGCTTCCTCTTCTTTCTCTTTATCTCAAAATCTTTAACTTAACCCATTAAGTCCCCAAATTTTCAATTCTGTGAATATTTCAGCATATTATTTATTTCAGAGTTACCATAAGTTGTATATTTATTTAAGTCTTTATAGGTGTCATGTATATAGGAGTTTGAGATATAATGGCTTATCTTTGCCTTGTGATGTAACATTCATTTGTTTTTTACCATATAAGGTAATATTGACAGGTTATGGAGATTCACATGCAGATATATGGAGGGAGGGCACTACTCTGCCTACCACACTGTCAACTGTGAACCCTAGGAAAACCTAAACATCAAGTTGGATCCTAAGTGGCCAAAACTGGATCTAAATTCAAAAGGTGTCTGAACTGCCATCTGCTGACTAGATAATCTGTCATACTCTGTTTTATGGGAAGAACCACAAGCTGACTTGTATAGGCCTTGCTTGGATATGCTCCTATTTCAGTTGCCAAGGCCAGCAGTTTCAAGAAAGTCCCTAGCACATGCTGAGCTCAACCAGTGAATTTGAGCTTGTAATTTATTTGAAACGCCAACCAGTCAGTGCTAAGTTCTTCCCATCTATGGCTTTTTTTGCCTTTCAAAGATAATTTATCCCCACAGACCACACCTTCATTTTGTACTTAAGGCTGTGTTTCTCCAGTTTGCAGGCTGCTTGCTGCAATAAAGCTTTTCTTTTTATCCTAAATTATTTTCTGGTAAATTTTTATTGATCTCTTTGGTGCCAGAAGTGGAATCCAAAGTATCTTCCCTTCACCATCATGGATCGACACATTGACACCTTCAAAAGCCCTTTGAGGTTAGTTGTCCATGACATTGCCCCAGGGCACTTATAAGTTCTCTCAGGTCCAGATCTCCTACATTCTGGTGGAGGCCTTTTATTTCAAGTTAGGAGGAAACTCCCTCATTGTAATTATCAAACTCAAACCATAAAAATCACAGTGGAGTCTCCTTCATTAGGTTTAATGCAAAATAGGTAACCCGTGTTCTAAATCTTTTCCTACTGATCAGCTGTCTCCTGATACTCAGGCCAATTTGGTGAAAAAAAATTACAGTTCGGAGAGTTGTAATTGCCTAGGTCTGTAAAACAAAATAAATCAGAATAACCTAAAATTTTGCTGGCTGAAATGGGGCTTTTTGGAAATTCCAAAGCTTGTCTACTTGTACATGCAATTAGAACAAAGAAAATACCCAGCCTTTTAGAGAAAGCAATCTTCAGTTGGTATCACAAAGGCTCCAAAAGATCCCAGGCATCCATTGTTATTCTCTAAAAGAAAGTAATCCTAAATTAAATGAGCAGCTTAACAAACTAGAAAAAGAAACTAGCACTTGTGTGAATGAAAGCACAACCCGCAGTGCTTCCCCGGCAAATGCTGCCGCTGCTTCACCCTCACTGGCTCTGCACCCCTCCTGCTGCCCCCTCTGTGATGCACTCTCCCGATTAACACTCTGAGCTCCCTGTCTTCCCTCAACACTCCCACTCCTTCCAACACTGCTAACTTTCTTCGTTCTCCTTTGATAGCTGCCCTTAAAATCCAGACAGTAGGGAATGGAAGTAAATTGCCAGTGTCTCCTGGGAAAAATCAGAACTTCCAGCTTTAAAGACTTCCCAAACCCCCAGACCAACTCCTATGAATGAGGATGGCACTTTAAATCACTCATTAGCACAGACTAACCTGTATTTTCAGATCCTGACTAAGTTATTCTCAGGCTTGTAGGAAATGTACTAGCCTGGCAATGGATATTACCACCAGATGGTAAAAAGAACTCCCTTAGGATTTTAAACTGGCTATTCCCCAAGTAGTAAATACAGCACAAAAACAGGCAGCTAAATTATTAAAGGCCGTCCCCTTGATTTTCCCCTGTCAGGTAACTAGAAAGCCGTAAGGCATGGCCCCCAACAGAGCACATTGGGATCTATTACTCTGATAGATTTGAACTGACCTTTCAACAAAATTCAGGAATTAAAGATTTTTTTTTCAAGATTTTTTTTATTTTTTATTTTTTTTAACTTTTATTTAATGAATATAAATTTCCAAAGTACGATTTATGGATTACAATGGCTTCCCCCACATACCGTCCCTCCCACCCACTCCCCTCCCCTTTCCCACTCCCTCTCCCCTTCCATTCACATCAAGATTCATTTTCGATTATCTTAATATACAGAAGATCAGCTTAGTATACATTAAGTAAGGATTTCAACAGTTTGCTCCCACACAGAAACATAAAGTGAAAAATAGATGATTTTTTTAAAATGATGATGAAATCAGATCAGACCTATTGTCATGTTTAATCCCAGTGAGAGTCAAGTTGGGAATTGATAATTTCTTTTTTCTTTTTTTTTTTTTTTACAGAGGATCAGTTTAGTATACATTAAGTAAAGATTTCAACGGTTTGCACCCCCATAGAAACACAAAGTGAAATATATTGTTTGAGTACTCGTTATAGCATTAAATCTCAATGCACAGCACATTAAGGACAGAGATCCTACATGAGGAGTAAGTGCACAGTGACTCCTGTTGTTGACTTTACTAATTGACACTCCTGTCTATGGCATCAGTAATCTCCCTATGCTCCAGTCATGAGTTTCCAAGGCTATGGAAGCCCTCTGAGTTCTCCGACTCTTATCTTGTTTAGACAAGGTCATAGTCAAAGTGGAGGTTCTCCTCCCTTCAGAGAAAGGTACCTCCTTCTTTGAAGACCTGTTCTTTCCACTGGGATCTCGCTCACAGAGATCTTTTTCCAGAGTGTCTTGGCTTTCCATGTCTGAAATACTCTCATGGGCTTTTCAGCCAGATCCGAATGCCTTAAGTGCTGATTCTGAGGCCAGAGTGCTATTTAGGACATCTGCCATTCTATGAGTCTGCTGAGTATCTCACTTCCCATGTTGGATCACTCTCCCCTTTATTTATTCTATCGGTTAGTGTTAGCAGGTACTAGACTTGTTTATGTGCTCCCTTTGACTCTTAGTCCTTTCATTATGATCAATTGTGAACTGAAATTGATCACTTGGAATAGTGAGATGGCATTGGTACATGCCACCTTGATGGGATTGAATTGGAATCCCCTGGTATGTTTCTAACTCTACCATTTGGGGCAAGTCAGCTTGAGCATGTCCCAAATTATACATCTCTTCCCTCTCTTATTCCCAGGAAGGAATTAAAGATTTTTGATGAGACCTTTACTTTGTTTAATTCAGTTTTTTGTGTGTGTGTGTTTTTTTTTTTTTTTTTTTTTTTTTTTTTTTTTGGACAGGCAGAGTGGACAGTGAGAGAGAGAAAGAGAAAGGTCTTCCTTTTGCCGTTGGTTCACCCTCCAATGGCTGCCACGGCCGGCGCATCGCGCTGATCCGATGGCAGGAGCCAGGTACTTCTCCTGGTCTCCCATGGGGTGCAGGGCCCAAGGACTTGGGCCATCCTCCACTGCACTCTTGGGCCACAGCAGAGAGCTGGCCTGGAAGAGGGGCAACCGGGACAGAATCCGGTGCCCCGACCGGACTAGAACCCGGTGTGCCGGTGCCACAAGGCAGAGGATTAGCCTATTGAGCCACGGCACTGGCTAATTCAGTTTTTACTAAGATTTCCCACATTGTCTGTACCCTAGTAAAAAGAAAAAAAAATATAGTCTCAGCTGGGCAATAAAGCATCCCTACAGCTCTTTAACCAACCATCAAAAGTCTAGGAAAAGACAAGGAATCTAGAGCCACTTGACCCTAGATTGCTAGAAAAAACTGCCAAACTAATGGCCCTGCAATTACACCATTTTAAGATGCCAGCCAACCCTACCTCTTTAGAATCAAAAGACCTTTTTTCATAAGTGTACAGGCCATTTCAAAACAAGACTGCTCCAAATAACAAACGCTGACCTACAGTAACCTTGATAAGACTGCTTTATACTTCCCTTCCAAACAAAATGGGGTCCTTGGTTTTAAGCAGGAGAAATGTCCCAATCAGCCATGGAACGTAGATGTTAAAATTGGGGATGGACTGATCAGAACTCTCCTTGACAGTGGAGCCGTTCTTTGTCCTTCATTAACCCCAACACATTTTCAATGTCCCATACTCCAGGTTGAGGCCAGTCAACCTATGACAGTTCTAATCCTTACCCCATTCCCTTCCAGTTGGGAACCCCCTCAGGAAGTCAGTTTTTGCTTGTTCAATTGGCTCCCATTTCCCTCTCAGACTTTAGAAGCCACTAGACCCCTGTTTCCTTCTCCCAGAAAAAATAATGCTAGAACTGTCTCCATCAGAAGACCTTGCCTATGACCCCATAGAGGTAATTTGTACTCAAATTCACATCTGTTTTGTCAGTCTCACACTGCCCACCCTTGCCCTCCAGGAACTGCTTGAAAGCTTATGGGCTCAGTCCCTCACTCATGTTGGTTATAATCCATTCAGCACTACCAGTTAAAATCGGGTGAGTATAATACCCCTCTCTCTAGTATCAGATAGTACCCTCTTAAACCTTGAGGCTCTAGATGGCATGCAACCCATAATGGATTACTTTATACTTAAGAAAGCTGTTCTGTGCATCAACTTGGAGTAATCCTATCCTCTCATCCACAAACTTAATGAAAGTGGATGGAGATTTGTGCAGAACCTCAGAGCCATTCAGAACATAGTTATCCCCCAATATCCAGTGGTCTCTGATCCTCATTCTTGTCCAGTGTTTCCCCTTTAGTGCCTTCTTCAGTATACTAGTAGACCCCAGCAGCCAGTACCTCTTTGCTTTTGCCCAGAAAG